AGTTAACTTGCTTAGTGGGTAGCCATTCCAGCTTTGATCTGTAAGTTCCAACCCCCACTGAGACTTCGGCAACTGTCAAGCCTACAAGGCGGGGCCAAGGGAGGCGCCTGGAGACCTGAGATCTGCATGGGCGGCACACTCACTCGGTTCGGGACCTTGGACGGTGAAGGTGGGCCAAGCAGAGCTCCAGAGAACACCGCTGGACTGCGATACACCTTACCTATCCCTTAGCTTGTAAGTTACGCCATTAAATAAATCTCCTTTTAACTACGTGGAGTGGCCTTAATAATTTCACCAATAAACTTGCTTATGTTTGTTTGTTTGTTTGTTTTGTTTTGTTTTCAAGACAGGGCTTCTCTGTGTAGTCCTGGCTGTTCTGGAACTCACTCTGTAGACGGGGCTGGCCTCGATCAGAGATCCACCTGCTAGTGCCATCACCATCCGGCTCTTAATTTTGTTTTTACTCTGTGTTCAGCCTCAAGTGTTTTCCACTTGACTCCTACCATGAAAAATGAGATTTGCTTCCCGGCATACCTGCCAACCCGTGCGTGTCCATTCCCATCTTCTTTTCCTTTGGCTGATAGTTCAACAGAATGCAGATTGCATCACAATGCTCACACTGTAAAGGTTCTGATCATCATCTGTGTAACTCCGCCTCCATCCTCACCCTGTGCAATGTTTTATTTGTTCTCGGGATGTTCTGCTCTCTTCCTTTGTGTGGTTTCTGACTTCCTTTCACTAATTCATCCCTGAACCCTGAGTCAGCAGGATAAATCAATTCTCCACCCTCACCCCATATGTGTGTGTGTGCGTGTGAGTGTGCATGTGCGTGTGTGTGTGTGTGTGTGTGTGTGTGTGTGTGTGTGTGTGTGGTGTTGTACTTGTTTGTGTGCTCATATCAAGGCCAGAGGAGGCTGTTCAGTGTTTTTCTGTTACTCTCCACCTTATTTTTTAAGCAGGGTCACTCTCTGAACCTAAAGCTGCCCTTTTCGGTTAGATTGACTGGCCAGCAACCTTCACGGATCCCCTTATCTTTGTCTCCCAATGCTGGAGCTGTAGGCAATGGCAGCCATGCTTTGATTTTATGTCAGTACTGGAGATCTGAACTCTGATCTTCTTGCTTTTAGAGCAAGCATTCTTACTGCACTGAGCCATCTACCAGCCTTTACATCACTTTTCACTATACATGCTTACAATAGAAACACCAACCTATGTAAACTAACCTACATTCATGGAACAGCCATCTTTGCCCCTAAGCTTGCTGGAAACTCACTTCATGTATTTTTATTAGTGTGCCTCAGTTTGTTTAGACCACTTGCTATTTGTGGACCCTTGGATTCTTTTCAGTCCTTTGTTACTAAAAGAACACTACAATGAGCAACCCAACCGTGAGTGCCTCTGTGAACACCAGCGGTGTTTTGAAGAATGGCTCCTACAGGCGTCATTGCTGGGTGAACACTGTAAGTCCCACTGTGCTCTGAAGCATACAAGGGACAGCAGGTACCGGAGCTCCTGTGCAGACCCAGTGCCCTGGGAACTGGTCCAACCCAGTCTCCCCTTAAGCTGATGCTTGGAACATCATCAGCCTTTGCATTCAGAGTGCAGGCCACACACCAGGTCTTCAGAGCAGAGCACTGGACTGGTTCCAAGAGAATGCTCCAAGCAGTCAGAAGCAAAGGTGCTGATGAGCCAGGGTCTGCTCTGCAGGGTGTCCAGATCCTTTGTGGTGACAGCCTGGCACTGAGCAGAAGCCTCTCCTTCCCTTTCCTCTGAAGCTGAGTGTGAATAGAATGATCACATGTCAGCTTTGTGTCTTCTGACCATCGTAAGCACCAGTGACCATCCTCCCTACATGGAATAAACAGGACAGAGACAATGAGCGGGAATAACAAAATCATCATCACCCACATCTCAGGTAGGATGACAGCACCCTAGGGACCATGCAGGAAGGACTGACATTCTCCCTTCCTCCCTTGGCCAGTAGTACAAACCTTTCATGGCAATTGATCAGAGTTCACAGCCCTCCCTCCTGGCCTGAACCCCACTCCCCACAGTGTCCTCTTGATACCTGTGTCTAGTCCTCAAATCCCCTGCCATGTGGGAAAGAAAGCACATGACATTACATTGTTTGTGTCTATGCTTCAGGGAGTTGAGACAGGAAAGAAGCTTAAGGCCAAAAAGGCATGGAGTCAAGATTTTCTGTTCTCTCTTTTCTTTTTTTCTTTTGGCATTGTATTTATTTCACTCCTACAGTCATCAGCTGTCGAGTAAATTGAAAACACAATAAACCAGAAACAAAACCACAAAGACAAAACAGTGAGCCCTGTACCTGACATTTCTGTCTCAATGTTTTGAGTACCTCTGCTTGGCTCTCCTTAATTCCATTAAAAAGAACTGCATCCCTATGCATTAGAAAAAAAAATCATTGAGGAAGCTGTAATAGAAAAATAGAAAATGAGGGCTGCTCATCCAGAGGTCCTGAGTTCAATTCCCAGCGCTCACATAGTGGCTCACCACTGTGTATAATGGAATCTGATGCCATGTTCTTGTGTGCAGATGTACATGTAGACAAAACTCTCATATACATAAAGTACATAAATAAATAAATCTATAAATTAAAAAAAAGAAATAAAATGGGACATGGAGAGATGGCTTCATGGTTTTACAGAGAACTCTAGGTTAGGGTCCCAGCAACCACATGTGGTTTACAATCTTTTGTAATCCCAGTTCCAGGGAATCCTACACTCTCTTCCTACATCCACAGGCACTGCATGAATATGTGCATACACAGACACACACACACACAGGCGAAACAATCATACACATAAAAACAAACAAATAAATAAATATAAAATCTGCCAGGAACAGTGGGTATCATTAGTCAAACACTGCTGTGAATGCATTTGTAAATCATTGAGATATTCACAGCTCTTTGTGGCAGGTGCTTTTATTGAATGGATTTTAAATGGCACCCATGTGTTGCCCCTGTTTTATAGGTAAGAAGCAGAAGTTAAAAGAAGTTGAAAACACTATGCATGGTCACAAGCCAATACATTACAGGATTTGAGGACAGCATCTTGACCCCTGAGCCTAAGTGACTGGCCACAACATCTGCCTTCATTTTTTTCATATCACCATCCAAGTTTTACCCAATGCATGCATGTACTTAACAGTTATACTGAAGCATGCAAAGCAAATATACTCTGCCCCCCCCCATTCTCACTTATCCTATCAAACATTCTCCGTGTTTCTCCCCCAGACACTTAATGATAATTTGCATATTAATAGATTCACTGAAGCCTCACGGCATCATCTACAATTTCCTTCCACTGGTGTTTTGTGTCCTCTCTATTTCCGGTTAGCACGAATAACACTAAAATGAACTAAAAGCCTCCAGCGTTGGCTTTAAAAACTACGCATTTCCTCAGGAGAAATTCCTGGGAGTGGGATTTGCCGCTCTTTTATTGCCTTTCAGAATATTGTACCAATATATAGAGTGCTACCCGAAGCTAATTTGTAGGCTAATTTCATTGATTACTCTTTGAAATTTGCCTAGTGGAGCCCTTTCCAACAGAAATGCAGGATAAATGGAGCACTGTTACGGTTATGACTGTGGTGAAATGTGAGTCGCTGCCAGCATCATATTGTCAGGAGCCGCCCTGCACTCCTTCTTCCCCTTCCCACCTGCTTCAGCATCTCCTCTGAAATCAGGGGCTGATTTTGTATGCCTTACAGGACATATCATGGAGATGCAAACTGGGGAAGGTGCGTCCTTCAGATACTGACTGATCACACTAAAATTAGTCTTTCTGTTGCTTTCTCAACTTCTACATCCTTCTAGCAAATTCTCGTGGAATTTTGACTCCTGCCCCTCAACCCTTCCACATCATTGGCCTCCACTTCAACAGTCTTCCTTCCAAACATGATGCCCCCCCCACACACTATTTTTTAATTGAAACTTTTTTTCATACAATATATATTTCAATCATGTTTTTCCCTCGGCCGGCTCCTCCAAGATCCATCCCACCTCCCAACCCACCCAACTTTATGCTCTGTTTCTCTGTCTTTCAAATATATATATATTTTTAAAAAAACTTTAAACCGTGAAAATAAAGAAACAAAAACAAAAATCAAGACAAACAAGCAAAAGACAAAACAAAAAAAGGCCAAAACGAAGCAAAATGAAACAAAAATCCACAAAACATCATTGGTTTCATTTTGTGTTGGCCAACTACTCCTAAGCGCGGGGCCTGCCCTGCAGTGTGGTGGATATACGCAGTGAGTCTCTGCTGGTGGAAACTGAGTTTTCCTTTGCCAGCAGGCATCAATTCCAGATTGCCTCTTTGGTAGGAGTGGGACCCTCAGCCCAGGTCCCCACCCCTAGTGCCGGGACTCCATCTGACCTGAACCTGGTTCTGTGTGTGCTGTCACAGTCTCTGTGAGTCACATGTGTATCAGTTCTGTTGGTGTCTGAAGACTGTTTCCTGAGAGTCACCCACCACCGCTGGCTCTTACAATCACCCCCCTCCCACCGTTCTGCACAGATCCCTGAGCTTTGAGGGGAGGAGTTTGGTAAGGATATCCCATTGAGGGCTGAGGCCTCTGAAGTCTCTCATTCCCTGTTCAATTGCCACGCCCACTTTTAATGCCAACATGCTTGTTCTGACCCTTGCCATCACTTGCCAATATGCTAGTTTTGCCGCGGGACTCCTGTTGTTCCTTGAACACAAAATGTCCCCACGGGGGTCACGTGTTTGAACTCTTGGCCCCCAGCTGGTGGTACTTTTCAGAAGGTCACAGAACCCTTAGGGAGGTAGAGCCTCGTTGGAGGAAGTGAGTCACTGTGGGTGGGCCTTAACGTTTTACATCTGCTCTGTGATCCCCTGTCTCATGCTCCTGCCACAAGAGCTCTCCCCCACCCCCCACCCCCCACCCCGCCCCCAGCCTTGATGAACTGTATCCCCTCCGACTGTAAGCCCTTCCTTTCTTATGATGTTTCTTATCAGGTGTTTGTCAGAGCAACAAGAAAAGTAACGGACACAACTCCCTTCCTACTCTGGTGCCTCCTCCACACAACTCCCAGAATAAACTTCCTGACATACAGCCTCACACCACGTCGTTCATCAGCCTCCAAATGGACACCAGTGTTCAGTAGCCACCGAATGGCACCCAGACACTGGTATGTGGCCCACTCCAAACTGTGAACCACCCCCGAGCCTTGCTGTCCATTGGCCCTTCCTATCCTGGTCCCCTGGATCCTTCAGCTCTCCTGGCAATGTCTTCTCAGGTTAAACCCAGTGTCTCTGCTGGATGAGTTACTCCAAGAAGAAGCTTGGGCACCAGCTTTATTCATTCGTACCCACTGCTTTGAATCACTGTTTTGGCTCAGAGAGCAGTGGAACATCTCTTACACATCTTCAGAGCCACCAGCTAGTATTATGACACAGCCTAGTAGCCACTTTCCTGCCTCAGATCTTGCCAACTCTCTCACACAACTGCTAGCGTGAGCTGTCTGTGTGCAGATGGGTCTCATCCCAGCCAGCTCCCGTGGTCTCTGTAGGGTGTCATCCCAGGTCCTGTAGGAGAGCGAGTCTCTCTCTCCCCATGAAGTTCATCACCTCAGTGCTCTATCCCAGTGACCCAGTGCATCTCGTCCTCTGCCCTGGCTTTATATACCTCTCTATAGGCCCCTAAACACAAATGTTCTCAGGCACCATTGTGCCATCCCACATGGGCTGACGTCTCTGGGGCATCACTCGGTTGTTATATATTCTCCCAGGCAGCCCCCTGAGACCTCCACAGATGGCACTAAGCATCAATGATTGATTGTATTTTGAGAGTGTTTAGGTTTAGGCTTACACTGTTTCACTGATGGGCCCCTCCTAGACCCAGCCTGCTCTAGGGCAGGGACCATGTTTGATCTGCTTGGCTTGCCAAATGCCTGGTTTTGTCTTTGGTGGTTACTTTTGGATGGATGTAAACAAGAGCTTTTCCTCCCTCAGTGGGATGGGCCAAACCTTCAGTCCCACAGTTTCACAAGAGAGAGGCAATCTGGATAGAACAGGAGGTTCTAACTGGAAATGCAAGCAGACTCCTGCCTTCCCACCCCTAGCACCATTAAGGGAAAAGGCTGGCACGTTCTCTGGGGACCTCTTGGATCAGGGTAGAAAATCAAGAAGAGGTTTGGAGCTTTTCTCCACATTTCTGTGTTTCCAGATTTAGGAGAAAAACCGGAGCAAGAGATGAGTGTCCAGGAAGCTACCAACACTTGTAGTTACTAGACCAGCAGGACGGCTCACCGTAAAGATGCTCAATGACCCGAGTTCAATTCTCAGGACCTACACAGTGCAAGGTAAGAACCCACTCCCATAATTTATCCTCTGGCCTCTACATGTATCCTGTGACACATACACACACATACACATACATGCTCATGTAATAAACAGATGTCATTAAAAAAAAACTTGCAGTTATTAACTGTTTGACTACTTTCAAAGGGCAAAACCCTCCAACATATTTAATGAGTGGTATTGCCTGGTCCTTCACATAAAAATACAGAATCAAAAGGGGAAGCAGGGCTGGAGCAGTGAGAGGCTGGATTTGGGGAGTGTAGAGCCACAGCTTCCTAAGGACCACAGTGTGTGCATACAGACAGCAGGTGCATCTTTCAGCAGAGACCCCTGGAGGCTGGTGCAGGGAGTGTGGGGGACGCTGGAATGAGCTGTTGCTGTTGCTGCTGCTGCTGCTGCTGCTGCTGCTGCTGCTGCTGCTGGGTGAAGAATCCTGTCGCAGCAACACAGATGGGAATAACGGGCACCAAGACGCTAACTCCCTCCTCTTGACTTCAGTCCTTCCCCACTCGGTGTCCCTGTAACAAAGGGACACCACAGAGGAATGAGCCCCAGGCTCAATGTCACAAGGCAGAACCCAGAACGCCTTATGTGCCGAAGACAGGCAACAGCTGTTAACCAGCATTCTTCATTCATTCACGCAGCCTCAGTTTTACTCAGGCATAAAGCGGTTTATCATGATCTGGAAATCCAGGCGCCCCCACCCGGACTTAGGGGTGAAGTTTGATTGGTATGCTTTCCTATAGGCCCCCAGATTGCTGCAAGCCACAAAAATATATGAAGTAGGATTTCAGCCGATTATGACAAGCTAATCATACCTGAAAGAAGCCAAGGGCCTTCCAGAGGTCAAGCTTAGGCTCAAGGTGTCTTAGCGATATTGGCTTCTGATTATCAGCCATTTTCTGCTATGAATTTCTTGTGTGCTGTTGTAGCTTTTCCATCATTCATTGGGCACCATTTCCCCTCTACTAAGGAATATTTAGGTAGCCTTCTGAGCAGTAACACAGCCAGGATCCCTAATTTCAGGCCTTTCTGTAATTATTGACATTAGCAGCATCCGGCCAGGACCATCCCCAGAGGGACAAAAGTATCTTATCAGAGACACCTCTGCACTCTCTAAGAACAGACTTAAGCATCCAGACTATCCGTTTGAGAAGGCCTGGTGGATGTGCTAATTAAGCTTAACTTTCTTCCTCTCCAAAGTCTTATCTCTAGTTTTAGATCCACCTTTAACTATTAACTCAGAACTAAAGGGTTTCTACTTACAGGTCCATCAAGCTGACTCAGGCTGCCCAGCCACCGAGTACACTCCCCCGCTCTGCCAGAAAGCAGTAGTCAAGATAGCCTGGACAGATAAGGGGCCAAAGGAAAGCAAGACAGTTTTATTTTCACTCGTCACTGATAGACTCCTAGCACTTTAACTAACCACTTCTAAGAACATAGTTGAGCACATAAAATCCCCCTTGCTCAGAAATTAACCGAATTTAGCACTCAGTCGATTCATTTCCCCATTAGTCACTTCCCTTTTGGGTTGCAGCTGATGGCTGGCAATTACTGCTCTTTTGTGTGGATCTCATTGCCTCTCCTTTTGACCCTGAGGGAATTCAAGCCTGGTGACCTCGCTTTAACCAGAGCATTGCTATTGCATAGGTATATAACTGTAAACCTCAGAGACTTGGGAGGACTAGATGAGAAGAGAAAAGAGAATGGAGGAACTAGATGGATAAGAACTGGAGAGGAACAAACTGAGATGGGGAAGAACTAGATTGAAGGGTTAGAAGAGAGGACTAGAGGAACGAGATGGAAGATGAGGAAGAGCCAGATGGGGAAGAACAAGATGAGGAAGAAGGAAATGGGAAAGGAGCTAAGATGGGAAGAAACTAGATGGATGAGAACCTAGATGGGGCAGAACTAAGACAAAGGAATTAAGATAGTCTTAGAGGGGTCAGCAGATAAATGTAAAGAGAAATTAGGCAAGAAAGGAGCTAGGCACGAGAGCAGAATAGAAGCTGTGTAGAGAGAGAACTGACTCAGAAGAATAAAATCAATGAACTAAAGAGCTCGGTGTACTTAGATTCTTTTCCCGAAAATAATTCACACCATTCACAACTTCTCTTCTGGGCCCTTCCCTGAGAGGAAGATTATTAAGGCTGGTCCATGATAATTTCTGAAACCAGACTTGTAAGAATTCACTCCCGATAGTGATACAACTTCTTAAATATAAGGAAAGGAGTGTGTATAACATCACTCTTGTCTTACAGTAGGAGTAACTGCTCTCAGGTTATGTTAACCCAAATATATTCATATTTCCTGCATATTAAAAAAAGTCTTATGTCACTAGTTGGTAAACTAAAATGAAACTACCCGGAGGGAAAGGATGTGCCTGCTTATGATTAGTTAGTCACCTAGAAGTCAAACCTCTGGGCATGACTGTAAGGGAGTTTCAATAGTGGGTTAATTGATGTAGGAAGACCACACTATGTGTGGGCAGCACCCCTCCACGGGCCATGGCCCCAGGCTGCAGGAGAAGGAGAGTGAGCTGAGCACCAGAATTCATCATGCTCTGCTTCCCAGACTTCAGATGCGATGTGCTCAGCTGCCTTGAGCCCCCAGCACCATGACTTCCTCACCAGGACGGACTCTGCTCTCCATCTGGGAGCCCAAGGAGACCCCCCTCTTCCCTAAATCTCTGTCTGGTATTTTATCAGCACAGTGAGCAAACATTCCAACATACTGCTCTGGTCTCCAATCATGCAGAGCCTCCTCCAAACTCAAGAGCCACCAGCGCCATCCCAGCACCGCCACTGGGAGGTCTGGGTCACACCGGAAGCTCTAATTCTGGTCTGCAGTGTTTTCTAGCCTGTAGCATGAATGTTAAAGAGTCTTATTAATAAAATCAAGCCTGAAGCCAGTTATTGGGGTGAACACTGGATGATCAGAGAGACAGAACAAGCCACAGCTATCTCACCTTGCCAATTCCTCAGCTGATCCTGTTTCCTCAGACTGGAAGCCTCTGTGTCCTCATCCCAATGGCTCTCAGCTGAACTGCTGCTAGAAGCCTGAACGCTTAACCAGCCAAACGCTTAACCAGGCAAATGCTTAACCAGCCTAATGCTCCTAGTTTCTGGTCCTCATGCCTTATAAACCTTTCTGCTTTCTACCACCACTCCCTGGGATTAAAGGTTTGCTTTCTGGGATTAAAGGCGTGATGAGTCACCATACCTGTCTATATCCTTGAACTCATGGATTTCTGCCTCTGGAATGCTAGGATTAAAGGCGTGTGCTATCACTGCCTAACTAGTGGCTTTTCTGTTCTCTGACCCCAGATAAGTTTATTAAGGTACACAATATTTTGGGAAACACAGTACCACACTAGCCTCCCTCCATTTCTTCCCCTAAGAACAGCAGGACTTCCTTCTGTAACTTCCCTTATTGCCGCCTTCTGCTTTCCCAGTCTCCAAATCCCTGCAACCAATTTCTCTAGGAAATCTTCTCTGTTAACATCCCCCCCCCCCCGGTATGTGGGCTGGGGAGATGGCTCAGTGGGTAAGAGCACTTGCTCTGCAAGCATGAGGTCCTGAGTTCAAATCCCCAGCACCCACATAGAAAACTAGGCCTGGCTACGCATGCTCGTAAACTTAGCGTTAGGAGACAGCGATAGGAAGATCCTGAGAACTGGTTAGCTAGGCAAAATAGTAAGCTTCTAATTCAGCGAAAGACCCTGACTCAAGTCAATTAGGCCAATAGCTATAGAGGAAATACACACTGGTGGTCATGAGTACTCAGACTCTCTAGTACAAGCACCGTTCATACATATCACAGACATACACAAATACATATAACTGGCACTGTGTCTAGTTTTCTGACTTGAACCTGAACAACACTGTTGGGAGGTGTTTTTAGGTTTGGCTACACTCTGAACATGTCTTTCAGTATACTAGAGACTTGATCTTCGGGCAATAAAATTAAATAATAAGATTAAAGGGTGGTGGGTCTTTAAAAGGTGGGGCTTGGTAGACTAGGTAATGGAGCATCCCTCTCCAGGGATTAATGCATTTTTGCAGGTCCCGGTGATTTCTATGAGCAATTTATTATAAAAGGGCAAGACTGCCCCTTTCTACTCTCTTGCTTCTGTCTCACCAAGGGGCATCTCTATTTAAATGTGCCCCCTTCCCTTTTAACTTCTCTGTCATGCTGTGACCAAATGGGGGGGAAGCCTTTCCAGATGTGAGTACCATGCTATCTGTACACCATCTGCCAGAATCCTGAGCCAACCACACTTCTTTTTTCATATATTACACACACAGCCTCGGGTTTTATAGCAACACAAAATGGAAGCAGGGAGCTTCCACTAAGGTCTGATTCCATTACTATTTATGAGTCATCTCTTATCACAGTGTACTGTAATAATAATGATTACTTACTGAGTATCTGTGCATATCTCACACCCCCTGCCTAGCCTGGAATGCATTCTCAAAGTCTTAGGATGGCCAGACCGTGTGTGACAACTCAGAGGCCCTGCAGCACCAGCCCAGATGATGCAGAGATCACATCACAGTTTCTGCAGGAATCATCCCACAGGACTCACTGACCAGCACCTTCCGTATCTTTCACTCCAGTTTCCTATTCGAAACCAATCAGTGAAATCCAAACATGTTCCCCAAACCAAACACATACGATGCCCTGCCTCTGGCCCTCCTCCAGCTCCCCAGGGCCAGCAGCATCTAAAAAGGGTAGCCTTTTTCACTCCTGATCATGCTGAGGCCAAAGCGTTTTCCTACTATACAAGAGACAGGTCCAGGATTAAAGCCGGGATCGATCCTGACCTGGCTCCTGCTGTCCGTCCATCACGTCTCACTTGGTGTTATTGTCGCAGGAGGGGGGGTCTGTCTCCCTACTTAGACATTTTTGCCTTTCTCCGAGTTGGGAAGGATGGCTAACCAACTTAGCATTCTCGGCACTCACGCGGGCACGGCACACTGCAGATGCTCCGCATCGTTCAGGAGCCGCACCGAGGAACTGTTTCTGAACAACCTCTGCCAGGCATGCGGCTGAGAAACACCTGGAGAGAGACCATACAATCCATTGACTGTTTTTGGAGAACGACTGGGCTTTCTCATTTTCCTTCTGGGCTATGGTGTCAGCTGAGGACACTGTCCTGGGAAGATGTGGAACAAGAGTGACATGTGTGTGCACCATGCGGTTACCCAGGAGTCAGGGGAGCCGGGGGATCGAAAAGAAGCAGGAAGCATGGCATTTTGGGGTTATATTAAAACGATCCAAGGCCCCAAATTCACCACCTCGGGCACTTAAAATTTTGCAGTAATTTGAAGTAAATGACTGCCTCCTTCTCCTCCTCTCACACAAGTAGTTCCAGTGCCTTTGCAAAACAAACAAACAAATAAAAAAAACCCACCAGTTTAAGAAGCTGAGGAAGGTGGAGCCCCAGAGCCCCGCCCCTTAGAAATATGAAGGACTCGCTTGTTCCTGAATGGCCACTAGATGGCACTAGTACGGAGCTGATTCAGAGGTCAGAGCTCCACATCCATACTTTCAAAAAGCCATCTCTTCCATCAGCCCAGGCCAGCGATACTGAGGTACACTGGACGCTCGAGCTTGAATCCGGCTGCACTTATAATCCCATGGCGAGCCTTTTATGTGATTGCAGAATTTATCATTAATAGCGCGTTTGCTCTGCATCGGGGACCTGAATTAGCAGAGGTTTAATAACGGAGAGCAGCCTAATGTTTACACTAAGCTAAGCAAGGTCACCCGGCTATTCAGAGAAATGACCTGAGCCGTCTCCCAGCAGGATTAATGTAAATGAAGCCTTTCGTTGATTAGCTTTGTTCAGCTGCCCTGCGCTTTCGAAATGGCAGGTTTCAGAGGATCACAGCTTAATTACATAATCATACAGAATAATATTTAATAAAGCACAGAGCAAACAAACACACTGGCAACATCATCTGGCTATTACCAGCGACCGGAGGCAGCTTGGTACCGGATTAATTCTTCAGTCTCGCAGAGGCCCAGTTAGAAAAGGATCCGGAGCACAATCCATAGGATGGTAAGGGTTAAACAGTACGTGGCTTCCAAGTACTGATCACAGTGCATAGGAAGTGTGCAATGAAAAAATAATAAATAATAAAAAAAAACCTTCCCTGCTCCCCAGTGACAGGCTTTCGAATCAATAATTAAAATGGGCGCCTGCAGTACCCCTGTGCAGACTGCATTCCCAGGGTTCCATTCCTTTGAAATTATTTCCCATCCACCACTCCACTTCACCTTGCAGGTCTTAGAACAGAGGAGAGATGCTGTGTGGGATGGGGGAAGAGGATGTTTAAAAATGCAGATTAAGGATCAATGCAGACCTCTGCATCCTGAGCTGGCCTTGCCCATGTGACTCAATCTCAGGAGCCTCACATTCCTCAAGACAAACGCTGTGCTAGGGTAGAGAGGGTCAGCATTATTCCTGCTGTGGTTTCATTACCTCCACCCTGGGGAAACTGGATCCCAGGTGAGGTCTGGTTTCAAGTGCGGGGGAGGGGGGGGGGGGACACGGCGGGGGGGGGGGGGGGGGGGGGACGGGGACGGAAGGACAGGGTGTGGTTTGGAAGGACAGGAAACCTCTGTAGATATCCAGGCGGTCAGAATAGATCTTGAGTTCTTGCTTTAACTCATAATCAGAAATCCAGGTGAGAGCCAGTTTCTCTGGAATGGAGTTTGGCATCAGGAAAAGCAGTTGGCTTGGAATCTCCAGACACAGACTCTGCCTGGCTCTGCTGTTGTTGTATAATGATTTATCTGGTCTTTGCTCCAGGTTTCTGGAAGCAAACATCTAAAACCTTTGCAATTTCCCAAGTGCTAGAAGCCCCTAACCTCACCTAAGTTTATGATAACGAGCTGGCTCTGGAGAGCCACTAGTTTCCAGGTAGGCCTACCATGAGACTGAGCCCAGAGTGGATGAGGAGTCAGTGGCTACATTACCAATTAGGTCTGATCATTAGCTCATTGAGCTTATTGGTTGGCGAATGCATTCATATGAAGAGGACTGAGCTTATTGGTTGGCGAATGCATCCATGCAAAGAGGACTGATGGGTCATGAGAAAGCAGCTTCCAGACTCTGCACTACGGCTCTTCCTTTGGTTGGTCCTGATTGTATCCTTTAAAATAAAATCCTAAATTCAGAACTTCCTTGAGTTCTGTGAGTTATTCTTGCAACTTAATCAAAATTGAGGGGGATTGTGGGAATCACTCGACCCAGATTTGTGGTCATTTTGTCAGAGAATAAGTGATCTATAGGTCCCATCTCCATCTACTAAGAGGAAAAACTCCATGGGGATAATATCTTTAAGTTGTGAGCTCTGTCCTAACCCCAGGTAGTTAATGCCAGAATGGATTGCAATTTGAATAGCTATTTACAACGGCCTGGCCTCTGACAAGCCACTCACCCACTGAGATTTATCCCTGCATCTATAAAAGGAAGCTGGCCATGATGATAGCTACAGCCACTAACAATGAGCTAGCACCAGCGAAGTGTTAGGAACACTGTCCAGTACTATAGGGAATGCTTTCCCATCTGCCTGGGGATCTCAGGTGAGTCCAGTTTGAGTCTCTCTATCACTAACGCGTCCTTTTGTTCCTTTGCCACATAGGATTTTAGTGAGGACTTGCTGAGGTCATCACTGTGAAAATGTTATGAGAAATCCATCAGAGCTGGAAAGTTAAGAGCATTTGTTGCTCTTCCAGAGGACCCGGGTTCAGTTCCCAGCCCTGACCAGGTGGCTCACACCATCTACAGCTCCAGTTCCAGGGGATCTAATGCCCTGCTCTGGCCTCCACAGATTAGGCATCCACCTGATACACAGATATATATGCAGGCAAAATACCCACACGCATAAATTAAAGATAAATCTTGTTTTAAAATGAAAAGAGAAAAGAAAATACATCATATTGCTTCAATAGTTTACCTTTTGTTCTAAGTTTTAAATATAGCACACAAAGATAGCCAAATTAGTTTTTACTGAGCATGGAGAGAATTTAGTATAGTCAGACCTGGGCTGGAGAGATGGCTCAATGGTTAAAAGCACTGGTTGTTCTTCCAGAGGACCAAAGTTCAAATCCCAGCACCCCTACCCATATGGCAGCTTACAATCATATGTAATTCTAGTTCCAGGGTATTCCGTGCCCTCTTCTGACCTCCTCAGACATCAGGCATGAACACATATACATATACACATCTGCAGGCAAAACACTTATGCACACAAATAAAAAAACACAAATATTTTAAGTAAAAATTTCCTTTAAAAAAGTCAGATTTAAAGTGATACAGAGGGATCAAAGAAATTTATTCCAGCCGAGACCAGGCAAGCCTGAGTCTGTGGGTAACTTCCAACTAGATACACGTTTGCTCCAGAAGCTGGGGAGGGAGTAGGCTGGAATGGCAGCTTGTGGTGAAGAAAGTCTTCAGTGACCTTAGGTATTCAGGAAAGCAAAAACTATCAATATCCCCGTCTCCTTGCCAAACAAAGTTTCGTAAAGCACAAGTCTTGGTAGGTTCTTACCAGACTCTCCCATCTTGTGGCAGTGAAAGGAGCCTGTTCCATTCGGAAGGCTAGAACCTTTGGCCCTATGCCATGTTTGCATCCTCTGTGTACTGGTTATGTCCTAAAGGCTTGTTCTCCAACTTGATGCTACTGGGAGGTAATGGGCCTTTAAGAGGTGAGGTCTACTTGTGGTGGTTCAGGCCTTTAACATCACTACGGAGGCAGAGACAAGTGGTTCCCTGTGAGTTTGAGGCCAGCCTGATCTACAATAGAGTTCCAGACCAACTAAGACTACATAGTAAGATCCTGTCTGAAGAAAAATAAAACAAACCCAACAAGGTGAGGGAGGCCTAGCATCTTTGGGTGAGTGAGGGTGTGTCTTTGAAGGAAATTGTGGGACCCCGGTTTCTTCTCTCTCTCTTCTCTGCTGCCGACTGTAAAGTAAGCAGTTTCGATCCTGTGCACACACCCACTGGATATGCTGCCTTACCACAGGCCTAAAGGCAATGGGTCAACTGCCTGGGGACTGGGTCTCCTAAATCTAGAAGCAAAAACAAACCTTTGGTCTTTATAAATCATGTCAGGTGTTTGTTTTGGTAGCAGAAGGGTTACTGATATATACCCTATTATCTCTAAGTCCACTGGGAAGAATGTCTCAACTCCTAGGTCTTTATCCTGAGATCACGAAAGAATAGATGCAGATGCCCTGAGTGAAGGGTATCACTGTTGGGGCTGGAGGAGCATGGGAGAGAGGAGAACACTGCATCCACCTGCTGCTGTTGCCATGGTGATTGCATGAGATTCATGCTCACCTGTTTGAAATTTCCTGACACTTGGTATGAAAGCAGTTAATTTGATGGTTGGTTCTTACATCTTTGCAATTGCAATGATTATCTGAGCAAGCGACTTGCTGGGAAGTCAAAATGGGGTCTCCAAGGAGCTCAGGTCTAAGGCATATTCTCCATATGTGTATATTCTCAGTCATGAATGCAAATGAGAGACCGGAACTAGATAGGATGGGAGACCTTTGGGAAACGCTGAAAGATAAGTGGACATCACCAATATTCCAGACAAAGAGAAGCGGGCACAGGTCATTGGACCGAGTCTCTGCTTGACCCTTAGCATGGGGACATTCATTTGTGCATTTAACTGTTCTACAAACCTGTCTTGAGAACTTCATAGGTTCTTTTCCCTAAATGAGGCACTAGTTCCACAAAACCAAATGGAATAATATCTACTCTCAAAGTACTGTTTGGAAGACAATGTAAGAAAAGGGACTGCAGATCTGGGGGAGGGGCAGGAGCCATCGCCAGTGAAATGCTGCTGATGAAATGGTGTGGAAGCAGGAGAACGTTGGTGTCAGCCTGGGTGACATAGTGAGACTGTCTCTAAAGCCAAGAGTTGGGGACACAGCTCTGTGGTGGAATATTTCCTAGAATGCCCAAGGTCGTGGGTTCAATCGCCAGCACTGGGGGGAAAAGTGGAGGAGCACTCCCACATTCGGGGTCAGTACCATCACTGTGTCCCTTTCCTATCTGGTTATTCACTCCGTTCCCATAACAACTAAGTAAGAGAGTTACCATCTCTCTGTTTTGCAGAGACAGACTAGTAGAGAGGGGTGTAAAATGGTAGGACTGGGATTCAAACCCAGGTCTGTTTCCAAATGGTCAGGTTCCCTTCATCATGTCACTCTGCCTTCAACTTGTGGAAATGTCCCTGCCCAAGTCAATCCTGACCATCAAGAAAGCTCTGCCTACACCCGATTGCCTTCAGCTTCCCAAGAGCACACGCAGGCATGGGTGAGGGCGAGCACACACACACACACACAATTTTGTTGTTTGTTTTCTTTGCCACAAGGATGAAAACGGGGATATACCCAAGATGTACACAATAAAGGAGTAAGATGGTCGAAGAGTAAGCCAGCCTTGGTCTGATGGGTGAGTCTCCATACCAAAAAAAAAAATTCATCATCCGCCCTATTATTGAGGGAACTCTTTCCCGAGGGAGATATAAACAGATGTCAAACCCCTTCTTAAAGGGAACTGTCTTAGTTAGGGTTTCTATGGCTGTGAAGAGACATCATGACCATGGCAACTCTTATAAAGGAAAACATTTCACTGGGGCTGGCTTACAGTTTGGAGGCTTAGTCCATTATCATCAGGGTGGGAAGCATGGTAGCATGCAGGCAGACATGGTGCCGGAGAAGGAGCTGAGAGTTCTTACAGCTTGACCAGCGAGCAATAGGAAGTGGTCTGAGTGTCACACTGAGTGAAGCTTAAGCAAAGGAGACCTCAAAGCCCACCTCCACAGAGACATACTTCTTCCAACAGGGCCACACCCACTCCAACAAAGTCACACCTCCTAATAGTGCCACACCCTGTGAGTTTATGAGGACCAATTACATTCAAACTGCCATAGGAACCAACAAAATCCAAAGCATAACTCCACCCAAGTTAGGTAATCAATGAGTTTATTGGGCCTACTTACAGAGCAAGTGAGGGTGGGTGAGGGGTTACATGGCGTGAAGGGGGTGACCCCCCAAAGAAGCTGCACTGTTGAAAAGTCTCACCTCAGCTTGGATAACTACCTCTCACAGCTGAGTAGATGGCAACTGAATGGGAAAAAAAAAGAAGGAAAAAAAGGAAAGGAAAGGACAAGACTGCTGTGGGATGTTCTCTGTGCTGTGAATGTGTTGCTCTGATTGGTTAGTAAATAAAGTGCTGATTGACCGGTAGCCAGGCAGGAAGTATAGGCGGGACAAAGAGAGAAGAGAATTCTGGGAAGTGGAAGGCTGAGGCAGGGAGACGCTACCAGCCACCGCCATGAGAAACAGATGTTAAGATATCAGTAAGCCACGAGCCACGTGACAACTTATATAGATTAATAGAAATGGGTTAATTTAAGATATAAGAACTTGATAGCAAGAAGCCTGCCATGGCCATACAGTTTATAAGTAATATAAGCTTCTGAGTGATTATTTTATAAGTGGGCTGTGGGACTGGGGTGGGGGTGGGGGTGGAGGAGAAAGTTTATTGTAGATAGATATACAGGAGAGCATAGTCAGTGGCAGGAACATCTGGGAGACATCTGTGGACATGCCCAGGCTAAGCTGGGCCATATGAGGGGGGAGGGGAAGAGAGAAGGAGGAACCAGGTGCAGCAGCCAGGACGCCAAAGGCACAAAAAGGGGAGGGTGACCAAAATGTCTGGATTATATAAGGAAGAGCCTCTGGGGGGAGGGCAGCTCAGCCCCTGGGCCGGAGAGTTCAGGGTAGGGGCTTGGGGTGTGCCAGCCATACCCTGTAATGGGTAGGAACTGAGGGATGCTGGGAGAACCTGGTGGCCCGGTCCAGCTTTGATATGTTAAATACGCACTTCAGCATTTGTCCTAGGTTTGAAATTTATCAGCCCCCCTTTTCTGTGAATTAGCCACAGCACTTTGTACTCCAGCACCTCCCAAGACCATGTGCCACCAGGGCAGAATTAGATATAATTGGCTGGGAGATGCCGGAGGGAGGGGCCAGAATCTCTCAATAACTCTCCCCGCCCTCTCCTTCTGTGAGGGAATGTCAACAGTCCACAGGCTTGATCCCAGGGGCCTCTTACAAGTAAGTAGCCACAGCTGCTCTAATGCAGACCTGGCTGTCATGTTCAGAGGATAGCGTCGCACAGCACCTACATTGTGTGAAATCTGAGCTCCTTGTATAACTTAAATACCATAGATGTCTTTTGGAAGCCCATTAAGTCAAGAAAGAGGTTGTGATGGGATGAAGGAGAAGGGAAGAGGAAGAAGACAGGGAGGGGGGAGGGGGAGAGGGAGAGAGGGAGAGAGAGAGAGAGAGAGAGAGAGAGAGAGAGAGAGAGAGAGAGAGGGAGAGAGAGAGAGAGAGAGAGAGAGAGAGAGAGAGAGAGAGAGAGAGAGAGAGGAGAAAGTGGGAGGGGACGGAAGGGAAAGAGAAAGAAAGAGAGGGGGAGGGGGGAAGGGAGCAGAAAGGAGGGGAGAAGAGTGGAGAGGAGGGGGAGGGGAGGAGACTTAATCCATTTGGGCTGATATAACAAAACACCAGGTACTGCATGGCTTATAAACAACAGGAAACGAGTAGTCACAGTGTCCTGCATGGCTAAATCCTAGAAACCTGACTGGGGTGACTCAGGAATGAACAACAGACACATATACGGAGAAGCTGGGATCCGGTGGGTTGTGCTCACTCTGATAGAGGGCACCTACTACCCACAACCCAGAAACTCAGCAAAAGTAGGTGGGGTTAGCTGGTCTTTGTGGGAGGTCTCTGTATGGGGCAGTCTCAGGGGTCAGTCATCCTGGAGCAGGAAGCTGTGGCTGCCAGTTTCCGGACATACTGTCAACATCAGAGCATGAACCAAAGTCTTGGCCAATTTCCTGAGCCTGACCAGGGGAAGGCTTTGCCAAGCCTCAGGGTTCTGGGACATTGGGTCCTTGATCTTGCCAGGCCCATGTCAACAATACACATTCATTCAGGATTTCATCCACTCCCCACAATCCGTGACTCTCTGGAGGCTGGACCAAAGGGCGGAAGGTCAAATTCCTCAGCAAGATTCTTTCGCTAGTGTACAGACAGACAGCTGTCTTCCCGTGTCCTCCCATGGCGGCAGAGGGAGCTCTGGCCTCTCTTCCTCTTTGTGTAGGGAGAGTTATCTGTCATGGAGCCCCCTCCACTGACTTCACATACACTTAATTGCCTTTTCCAAGACTCCACTATCACCTTAGGGGTTAGGTGTTTCCAACATTTGAATTCTGAGTGACACAATTATCCAATCCATAACAGAAAGAGAGGGAAGGAAGGAGAGGGGTGGAAGCAGAAGTAATTATCATTACTTTAAAGCCTGAAGTAAGAAACTGAATGGCTGCTGTCCATTATCCTGTGCCACCCGAATTTCTGCCACAGTTTGCGAGGGGAGGGCCATGCCACACGCCAGGTCTACCTTCAGACTATGTGTTTGGGGACGATGAACCAATGCCCTCCCACAGGACCAACTATTTCTGCCTTGAGTTTTTGCTTTAGAAAAAACACATATGGGACCGGGGAGACGACTCCGTGGCAAGAGCCTCAGCTACGCCAACAAGAGGGCCTGAGTGCAAATCCCCAGAACCCCTGTATAAAAGTCTCACCCAGCACTGTAGGGGTGGCCAAAAGCAAGAGGGTGACGTGGGGCTTGCTGGCTGCCAGCCCAGCTCCAGGTTCAGTAAGAAACTGTCTTGTGGGGGTGGGGAGATGGCTCAGGGGTTTAGAGCACTGGCTGCTCTTCCAGAGGACCTGAGTTCAATTCCCAGCAACCACATGACAGCTCACAACTGTCGTCTATAACTCTAGTTCCAGAGGATCTGACACCCTCACACAGATATATATGTAGGCAAAACATCAATGCACATAAAATGAAAACAAATTATTTAAAAAAAAAAGAAAGAAAGAAACTGTCTTGGAAGAGAGGGGTGAAGAGTGAAAGAACAATACACCAATATCCTCTTCTGTCTTCTACACACACACAGAGAGAAAGAGAGAGAGAGAGAGAGAGAGAGAGAGAGAGAGAGAGAGAGAGATGTGAGCATCCACATACATGTGTGCGTACACCACACATCATACTCATATACACATGGACATACTCTGACACACATGTACACGCAAAATTTAAAAGTAAGCAAGCACACCATCTACCACACGGCTCTGACTTCTTAAGTATTCTCCCAAATCCATACTGTTCACACAACTGAGCCTTGATGGTACAGAGAGAATTACTTTAAGATAAACTGGAAAGTTAGTCTTGTTCTCCCATGGGAGGGAAAAGCAAGAGTGGGGTCATCTGCCCACCCCTGTGGAGGTCCACTGTTAGTAGAACCAGAGAGCTGAAGAGCTGACCAAGACTCTGCCCTCAGGGCCCTCCAGAGCCCACAAAAGGGTTGGACCCCCACAGTATGGTTTGAAAGCAAATGAAAGAGGGGTGCTCCGCTGAGACAGGATGCAGGGGAAGCAGCAGACCTGGGGAGGCAGGGAAATGTTGGGCATGGAGATGCTGCACTGTGGGGGTCATTAAATGAAACAGAGACACCAACAGACCTGGGGCTCCAGAGACCAACTTGACCGAAGATGAGTGATTTGCCTGTGGAACAAGAACCTGGGCCGTGGCGTACCTTTATGTGAATGGATGACTGGATGTGTGAATAGCGGTCCTGTGAGCTACAACTGCAAGCTTCCCAGAGCCTACGTAACAACGCATCAGCTCCTAGGCTGTCCTCCAGGCTGGAAATTCTTGTTGATGTCCTGACGAGTTTACTTCTCAGGAGTGAACGCAACCGTCCACGGGAAGGATGATGCAACCTTTCCCTGTCATTTCAGAATCTCTAATCCTGGCGATGCCCTTGAACGTGGGTTTGCTTCCTGGTATCATATTGCCAATGGCGTAGGCTTTACTCCGCATGTCTATGTCCATGGTCACAAAGTGCCACCACAAGCTGCTTATCATCATTCCTCGTGGTTCTCGAAGCTAACAGTCCAAAAATCCTGGAAGGGGCACACTCTCTCTGAACTGGGTGACAAAAAATCCTGCCTCCTGCCTCTCTAGCTTTGGGTGGTGGCCAGCAGTGTTTGGCGGTCCGTAGATAGTCTTATCATCTCACAGTGTTCTCCCCATGTGTCTGTGTCCTAATTATCTGTCTTATAAAAGTATGTCATTGAAACAGCCTCCGTGGTGATATGAATAGGTGATGAACCCTTTAGGAGGGGCCTAAGGGGAAAAACTGTGACTCTGAAGGGCTACTGGGGTCCCAGCCTTTTCCTGTCCCTCTCTGCTTCGTCCTCTACCACATGTTCCACCATGATGTCCTGGGTGCATTATTGTCACCACAGAGTAACACAGCCACCAAGGTAACAGGGCCAGATGACCATGGACTGCCAATCAATCCTTCCTCTTCCTAAAATCATCTCAGCCACCCTGCCCCAACCCCTGCACTTTGGAAAGCTGGTGAACACAGTTTCCCTCCCCATGTTATACCTGCATCGCCACAATATCTTCTCTGGCGAGTTCCTAAAATCCCACTATTTTGGAAGTTGAGGCAGTAGGATCCCTGAGTTCAAGGCCAGCCTAGACTACATGGCGAGACCGTCTCAAGTAAGAAGAAATAAATAAAATCTTCATTCCTAACTGTACTATCTGCTCTGTTCCCTTATAACCCATTTGACCGACACCAGCCAGCGTGACCTTTGAATTATGTAAGATCTTGTTAGGAGAAGAGTCCCCCTACTCACAGCTAGGACAAGGTCTGAAGTTGGGGATGTAGCTCAGGAACACTTCCCTAGTTCAATCCTCAGCCTACAAAAGAGGGAAAGGGAGAGAGGGGGAGGTGACGGAGCTGGATTTACCACAGCCCCTGCCCTCTAAGCCTGCCCTCCCTCTTTCCTCTTGCCCTCTTGCTGTGACCTCTGTGGTCCCATGCAGCTCCTACAGAGGCTGATTCCCACCCAGGACATGTGTACTTGCTAACCCTGCTGCCCAGGGGCTCTTCTCCGGGCTGACAAGCTGCTGGCTCCTTCTCATTCTTTAGCTCCCACGTGAATGGCCAGCTCTTCAGAAAAGCCTTTCCCTGCAGAGTCAAGAAAGCTATCAGTCTCCCCATCAGCTCGCTGTCTTGTTCCAAAGCCCACAGGAAAATCTAAAACTAATTGCCCTCCCTCTCCACTTAAGCCCCTTTGAACTCTCCAGGGCCAAGAACAGAAACCTCATGGACGCACCTCAAGTGATGAATGATAGCTGAATGGATGAATGGAAGTGTGGACAGAATGCTGAATGAATAGAAAAAATATTTTAACTTCAATGGCAGACTCAGGGTTAATAATTCTAATATAGACAAGCGTTATTGATCAAGTAAAATATGACCTTAAAATGCTGAGCTGCAGACTCCCAGCCAAGAGCCAAGAAAACATACTGAGCCCAGACAAGAATAGACACTGGGTTTCTTTTTCTTGTTTTTTTCTTCCAGGGAAAATGAAGAAAGATGTTAAAAGCGAAAAGGACAGGACATCAGAGCCTGCAGATGTGACTGAAGGGCAAAGAGGCAAAAAAGTGGTGAGGAGGAGAGAGGTGGGTCAGGCGGCTTTTAAAGGACCAGGTGGACCTCGGAAGGAGATGGGTCGTGTTACCAAGGACAGCTGCAAGAGACCTCCAGGCACCAAGTCCAAGGACTAAGTCAGCAGTGTTCAGCTTCCCTCCCCTCCCCCCATCTTGTCTTCTTCCTCCTCCTCTTTCTCCTCCTCCTCCTCTTTTGAGTCAGAGTCTCATTACATAGCCCTGGCTGGGCTGGAGCTCACTCTATAGACCAGGCTGGCCTTGAACTCAGAGATCCACCTGCCTCTGCCTCCCAGGTGCCAGGATTCAAGACGTGTACCATCGTACCCTATTTGGTCTGTACTCTTGTTCTTGGGATATGTTGTTTGTTGTGGGGTACTTACCAGAGAAGACTGCTTGGACATGGGTTTAAGAAAGTCTTTATTAGCCAGCCAGTGACTACACTGGGTGTTCAGGATCTCAGTGTAGCCCTGCGCCTTCCTCACGATGAGCCTGTCCTGGGATGACATACTTCAGTTAACAAGAATAGTTAGCCAGAAGCGGAACTACAGAAGCCAAAAAACAATATTAGTACATTTACAGACTTTCCCAGAACTCTGGACTTGGATGGAATAGGCCTTTGTTTTTATTTTTGTCAGGTGGTGCTGTCTACGAGCTGAGTTTTACAGCCTGAGTGACACTTCCATCATGGAGTCAGTTGTGCTAAGGTCTGAGGCCCTGTTGCAGTGTGAGCAGAAATAAAGCAAAAACAGGAGAGAAGAAAGTGCCCAGGTAGAAATGGTTTACAAAATGACGCACAACCAGTAAAGTCTTTGCTTGGTAAATGACAGGGTTGCAGATGTCGTTTGAATGTTTCTCTAAAACTAACACATGGCCTGAATCATTTTGAACAGTGAAAACAAACCTTAACGGTGGAACTGAATCCTGTGTATCAAATGCTACGCACCCCTGGTTCACTCAGCGACAGTGAATAATGCTTGTAAAATGCCTGCACCACACCATATTAACATGGGGTTGATGAAGAGAGTCGCTTGCTGAGAGAGAGCCAGGAAAGTAGAAAAACAGAGAAGCAAGCTGTAGCCATTCTGTCAACAACCCAAGGACTTCTGGGCTAAGCCCTTAGCAGGCCTCTGGGCTCCCATGAGGAGCCAGGGAGACTAGTTGTCCACAAGGGGGCGGTATCTAGCCAATCCTCAGCCCAGTAGCTGAAGGAAGTTGAGTGACAGAGGTCAGAATTCAAGGTCAGCCTGGGCTACAAGAGACCTTGACTCTTAGGAAACAACCAACCAAACAAAAATAAACAGAGGGTGGTAAGATTTCTCTAAACCAGAAAACCCTCTGACTCACAAGCCTATGGCCATACTACCAGCTCAGCCCTTCCAGGTCATCCCTAAAGACAGAAAAGTCCTGCCCCCAGGCAAAGGTCTCTCTAGGGAAGGACGCTAGGCTGTTATGTCTGAAGCTGAGAGTCGGGACATCTTCAAATTCTCAGATCTGAACAAATCAGGAAGGTGTCCCTACCTCCTCCTAAATCCCGGCTCCCAAATCGTCATCTTGACCAGGAAAGAAAACGAATGATCTGACCAGCGCCCCAAGGGAAATAAAAGATTATCACTCCGACAGCAGTAAAACATGAACACGTGTGCGCCCCTTTTCCCTGGTGTGTAACTGGCATCTGCACACAGACACACACTGCACTTGTAGAATTGGGGTTCTGATTCTGAGGCTTTGGGAATTACCAGCAGGGGCGGGTGTCAATTCAGATCGGGTGCCCTTCTCCACAGAGTGTCTGCAGTAGTAGGGCTGGAAGCAAGCGAGCCTGAGACCTGGCGCTTCTGTGTTTTGGGAGGTGTTGATGCTGTTTGGTGGAGAGTGGGGTTATGCTGATGATGGTATAGGACTTGTGTGTCTATTTCCTACTTTCTCATTAGCTTTGGCATCTTTAGAAATAAACCTCCCCCAAGGCTGAAGAAGAAACTCAAGTGAAGAGAGTCCATCCTAAGGATAATTCCTGATATCCGTACTTAATCCTTGTAACTCCCAGGAAGTAGGCATCCTTATTTCCATTTCCAAATAGGAAAGCAAAAATCTCCAAAAGGCTGGTGAATCTTGGAGCCTGGATTTGATCTTGGTCAAAGTTCCTGCTGGACATTCTAGCTCCAGGGTAAAGAAGCTGATTGACTGAAATAAGGAGAGAGAACGTGCAAACGTAAGTGATTTTTCAGCGAAAGTGTAAAGGCAAGCACTGTAGGAAAGCTTGGTAATGACAATCAGGATCAGAGGCACACGGGAGGCTGCCCTGGTGTAACAGGAAATGCATAGCTCCTGAAGAGACCTCCGTGTCAAGCAGAGCCCAGCGGGCATTTGAGATGATGTCGCTGCTAGAGTCCTGACCTGCCTCACAGAATAGAACACTATGCATTATTTAGACCAGAACGTCCTTTCTATTTTTGCATTCTGAAGAAAAGAGTGTTCATGGCAAAGGCTGTTGGGTTTGTTTTTTGTTTTGTTTTTAAGCTTTTAGTAGATCAGAATTCCCCAAGCTATCTTTCCTTTAAATGATGAATCCAAAGAGTGGAAAAACGGATGTTTAAGTGCCCAGGAAACTGATTAACACATTTCACGGTATTTAGATTTCTGCCTCTAAATGAAAACAATACCTTTTTATTAGTCAAACAGTGGACATTTGGGTTCTGAGGTTTGAGTTTGGTGTGTGTGGACAGGAGAGGGTTCTATAAACAGCAGGGCATTACCAGGAAATCTAGCTTTTGTGTAAAATAATCTTGATATCCAAAATAGATGTGTATCAGTCATGTCTTAGGTAATAAGCAGTCTTTTCCTTATTAGCAAGGGTCAATATGAAAAGAAATCCAGTTCTGATGCATTCCATTACACAGAATTTAACTCAATCTACAGATCTTTCTCTGTGCAATTCAAGCATTACCTTCAAGAGACTTGTAATTTAAACTGGGCCTGATGGCACACCTGTAATCTTGTCACTGGGGAGGCGGAGACAGAAGGATGACAAGTCAAAGACTTACCTGGGCTGCACAGCAAGACCCTGTTGAAGGAGGAAGGGAGGAATTTCATCTGAAAAGCAGGACAGATAGACTAGTAATTATAGCAGCCGTGACCCAGCTAGGAGGGCTAAGAAGCACCTCCTGCTTCCGAGCCCATCTCGCAAGTCTCTCCCAACCTTTCGTCTGTTGTGTGTCCCCAGTCTGTCATTTAAGTCCTCCAACTCTCCTAGTGAATTGCCGCCCCCCCCCCCCAACACTGTCTTGTCCAACACACTGCAACCAAGCTCACCTTCCTAGCTCAAAGGCATGCTCGATGTCCAAGCTCCAGGTCCTTCCATGGATTTCGGTTACTTGCAAAGCTAGTCCTTGTCAATGTCCTCCACAGTTCAGCTAGAAACCACCACATCAACATGATGAGCACGACTCCACAAACCAGCTTCCATCCAACTGACGTTCGATGGCTTCAAGCACTTTGCACACCTTCCCACTTACACTCCAGTCCTGATTCTGCCCCTCTAGCAGGGTTTGGGCTGTGATATCCTGAGACAGGATAGACTTTGTTTAGTCTACCCCACTGTGATCCCTTAAGACTAAAAACTGTGTGCTAGCTGTCTTCAGGTGGTCAGTGGGCAACAGTAGCTGGGTACATAGTAAACCCCCAGTAAGCCCAGTTCACTCTGACTGGGTTTTCACTCAGCATCTCAAGCTTTAATGACAGCAATCCACAGTAAAGTCCATCCACATAGACTTGAGTATGCAGAAGTGAATGGGAACCTTTAAGAGTGACTTAAAGTATGTTTAAGAGTTCAGTGGACCTGTTAATTCCCTGATAGACTATTTGCCTGGTCTTTCAAAATGAATGTGTCACAGAAGATCATCCCACCAGGAGAAGCAGCCTCTCATGATCTCTCTAATTATTTCTCAGGTTCAAAAGCCTTGCCTTCTACAAAGGGGAGCGAGCTGGGAATCACAGCAGCTGCATGGGGTAGAAGTATTTGAAACGGCTTTAACCAACTGGTGTGCGAAGCTTTCCTCCTGACAGCTCTGCTAATTAACAGTCCTAAACAGACTTCAGGATGCATCTTTCTACTGGGAAGTTTATTCCTCTTTTGCTCTTGACCTGTCCCGCCACTTGAATATATGTATATGTATGCATGTGCGTATGTGTGTATGCTTATATTTGTGTGTGTTTACAAGTTGAAAGATAGTCACACACTTTGCTCTGATTTATAAACATGTTTTTTTAATATTGTTTAGTATTGGTTATAGATTCAAATAGCAGAATATATATGATTTGTAAGCTGTGTCTCTCAGTCCTTCCTCTTACCAAAATAGCTTATTATCCTCTCCAATCTGTTAAGAAAAATACTGTTTAATTAAGAACACCATTGGCTCACTCTGTCGTCAGTCCCTCTCACCAACCATCCTGTAACAGCTGTATATAGAAAAGATTTTATTGTGTTTTTTAATCTCTCTCAAAGATGATGAAAATTAGCATTCTTCTCATATTTTAATAGGAGCTCATTAGCCACACAAACCTGTCCATCAGCACATCCACCTGTGAGTGGTTTCTAACTTTGGCATCCTGGGATTCTGGACACAGAGCAGTGGAGAGGCTTGGGACCGGGGAACTGCTAGGAATTGCTGGCCCTGGGCAGTCTGGTGGAGGCACGTCCTCATGGGCCTTCAGTACTGTCGATTTTAGATTTTCAGATTCACTTCAGTATTTTATCATTTCAGGGTTTCCTGGTTTTGGAATTCTTACTTTTTTTTTTTTTTTTTAATGTAAGTACTTCTCAAATCATTGGAGTCAAAAATCTCAGTGGGTGTAATTAGTGGAGCTGAGACTTGGCGCAACCTTCCACCCTCTCCTGCCACTCCTTCCGGTGCCTCAGCGTGTGGCTCTTCAAATGAGAAACTCTGGGAGGGCTGAATCCTCGTTAGTGCCATTAGTGCTGTCCTCTATGTTGAAGCTGGGAGCTTGAAACTCAACCCCTCAGACTGGCGAGCCTTCCAACAGGCAATGGAGGGAATACCCGCTTCTAGCCATCGCTATCAGCCATCCTCTCTCCTACCTGTATCTTATTTGATTTGCTTTTGACAGTCCCTGTGAAACAATTAGTCCTCATCTGCCGGGTGCCCAGCTCCATGTCAGGCATATTCTGTTCATTCGCTCTCCGTGGCAATACCACAGGACCACCTCCACAGGTCCACAGGTCCAGTAAGGAAGGAGCTTCAGAACGCTGAGAAAACATCGTGTCAGATTCTCAGTGACTCTAAAGCTTTAAGTCATCCGTTTCCACCTCATCCCCCTGCTCACCATGTGTCTTCTCTGCTCCATTTCACCTCTATCTCAAGACCCAGAACAGCTCTCATTCTGCTAAAAACCTTTTCCCCTGCTCTTCAGAGACAGCTCCTTGCTTAGAATTTGTAGCACTTAGTGACATTTATGTACCATACATCGTGCCTTGAATTATTTAAACGCCCGTGTGTGTGTGTGTGTGTGTGTGTGTGTGTGTGTGTGTGTGTGTGTGTGTGTAGGGTTTCTTCAATAGATGAAAGTTCCTTAGAGCCAGAGTGACGAGCTGCCACCTCTGTGACTCGGTTCACCACACAGAGGCAATGCTAATGATGACCTGTTAAGGGACACAGTTCTCCCAGGCATGTCTAATGGCGTTCTTGCTGCAGTCTGTCTCCTGCAACTGAACTAAATTCAGATAAACATCGCCATAGCTCAAAAGACTGCAGAGAGATGCTTCACATTAACTGGCATCTTTTGCAGAGGATAGAGGGCTATACTCAGGGTCTGGAGGTCTCTTGAGGGTTTGCACCATCTCTGATGAGTATTATAAAAGGTGAAGAATAAAGAGATCCATGGGAGCAGGAATAATGGCTCAGCGCTTAAGAGCACTCACCGTTCTTCTTCTGGAGGACCCAGGCTCAGTTCCCAGCATCATGTGGCAGCGCCCAACCACCTGTAACTCCAGCCCAAGGGTTTCTGAACCCTCTTCTGGCCTCTGTAGGTACTACTGTAAAACACTCATACACATAAAATTAAAAACAAACAAACAAACAAACAAACAAAACAAAAACAAAAAAACCTAAGAGATCCTGGTTGTAATCAAATGACAAATGCAGAATTGAGCAAGGGTGAAATGGCCGTGACATTGGTCTCCTTCTCTCAGGAATAGGTCCCTGATTGATGCGTGTCAATCTCACTGATCTACAAATACACATTTCTTATACATTGTATATACCTAGGTACTATCTACTCTGTACATAAGCCGTGGGCCTACAAAGTGCTTTTGCAAGCATCTGCTCAAAAAGAGGATACATATAACTTATGTGATGGTTAATACCGTCAACTTGACAAGATCTGAAATCATCTCAGAGATAAGACTGCAGGCACACCTGTGAAGGGTTCTTTAGATAGGTCATCCTCTGGACAGGCCTGTGGGGGATTGTCTTGAGCAGGTTCGCTGAGATGGGAGTAGCCACACTTGGCTGGGGTCCTATACTGCATGAAAAGGGGGAGACAGCAGCATCCATTGCTCTCTGCTTCTTGACAACTGCCCATACCATGTGACCAGCTGCATCCTCAAGTTCCTGCTGCCAATGACTTCCTGCCCTAAGGGACTGTACCCAGGAACTGAGGATCCAAATAAAGCCCTTCACCTGTAAGTTGCCTTTGTGAGGTATTTTGTCTCTGTTACACAACATAAGACAACTTAATTAAAGAGGAGAAGTAACTGGGGGGGGGGGGGGCTGAAGAGATAGCTCAGCATTTAAGAGCACTGCTTGTTCTTACAGAGGTCCTGAGTTCAATTCCCAGCAACCACATGGTGGCTCACAACCATCTGTAATGGGATTAGATTCCTTCTTCTGGTGTACATGAAGACAGAGCACTCATATACATAAAATACATGAATAAATGAATAAATAAATCTTCATTTAAAAAAAAAAAGAGGAGAAGTAACTACAGAAAATGAGAAAAGAGCCATGATTCTGCTACCCAGGGATGCAGAGCATGTGAGTATGTCAGGAAGTTTTCACAGACACGGTAGAGTCAGACTCACATCTTCAAGTAAGAACAGGGCACAGTTAGGGAACAGGTAATGGAAAGAAAATTCCAAGCAAGCTAGCTTCAGGCAGTGGTGGACATCCACATTCTCAGGAAAGGCACATAAACATCCACAGTGAGCAGGGATATGCTGTCACCCCAGGCTCAGCTACCTGCATCAGGACCCATCCTGACATCGGCCTCACACAACCCTCACAAAACACAAAGCCAGCCAAACCAGGCAAGTCTGGGGATGCTGATGACTGATAGGTAGGAACTGAGTCAGGTGTAATGAGCTGGGTGCCAGGATTTTGGAGGAGACAAGAGAAGTTTAAGGTAGGATCTTTGTGCTCAAAAAGCTGAATGTCTGTTCTGGAAGCATGACTAATGCATACAGAAATTTGAATATAATTGCATCAGCAGTATAGTTAGTGCTAAATTACATTCTTCTGACTGTGTAACACGACAGTATTTAAAAGAGTTAAAATTTAGTATGGCTGCAGGTGTTTCGTAGTGGTACCATTACAGAAACGCCATGAGATGGTATATGAAAATGCCAATCCACTCCTGTAAGCACCCTGGATAAAGCTCCCTGGGCTACCACAAAAGGAAGAGAGAGAAAAGGGTGGGGGGGGAGACATTAAAGTAGAAGAGGACATGAGTTAAGAAGAGGTTCAGCGCCGGGCGGTGGTGGCGCACGCCTTTAATCCCAGCACTCGGGAGGCAGAGGCAGGCGGATCTCTGTGAGTTCGAGGCCAGCCTGGTCTACAGAGTGAGATCCAGGAAAGGCGCAAAGCTACACAGAGAAACCCTGTCTCGAAAAACCAAAAAAAAAAAAAAAAAAAAAAAAAAAAAAAAAAAAAAAGAAGAGGTTCAGCACCAGAAGGGGGACAAGAGAGGTTAACTGGGACATGTGGTGGTTTGAATGGGCAATGTCCCCCAGAGGCTCAGGTATCGGAACATTCGGATCCTAGTTTGTGGAAGTTCAGGAGGTGGGGCTTCGCTGGAGGAAGTGCAT